ACCTGTATTTATGGATAAACAGCTGGTGGGGCATCCTTTCCTGACACCAAAATGGCTGTCGTTATGTTTACAATTTTTTATTTGACATTTTCAGGAAATTTACTTCATAAAGGAAGTAATATGTATGATGTAATATGTAATAAGTAGGTATATCACGAGCCATTATCATTGAAAAACTATCGGCTAAGTAAGCTACTATCAATGTCATTATGCAAACGAACAAACAAAATTAGGCTTAATATTTATGTAATTAAAATGAGACAATCTTATTGACATACGTCCATTAATAGTAACATGATAATGCGATTGACTATAAATAGATCGAGATTCCCGAACACGTCTGGATACGGCGGCGCCGGCGCCGGCAGGCCAGCCGGCACTTGACAGCTTTCAAACTTATCGATACCAATTAAATTGCGAAATAGACAGGGATGATAACGAAAACATGATGTAAATAGCGCTAAACGAACGTGACCCGATTATACGGGGCATTTACACACATAGACAGATTTTCTTTCCAATAAAATATTATAGATAGACATTACACTGCCACAGAAATTCGGTAAACGTGTTATGTAAGAATTATAGGTATTTTATATAAAACTAGTGCAGTGACAAGCTGATTGCGTGTTTACGAGAGTTCGCTACCTTTAATTAATTGCATATAACGACATCCCTCCGAACAGGCCATGACAGGCGACACACTTACATCGCAATTAATTCTCATTAGCACGATGAGAACTTCATATATCAATAAATTGTCACCTTGTTTGTAAATAGCTCTGTTATATTGAGTTCTACAAATTATTGCAAAGAATATAATATTTATAGACTGAAGTCAGTGACTCATAGTCGAGCAATCTGGTTCCCGTGTCCTCTGTCACTGAACCATTTTTAGTGGGAATCGAGATATTCCGTTCCATCCTATGGGCAGGAGCGCCACAGTACCAACTCCTTCCGTTAGACCGCATTCAAAGTCGGGCGGCTTGAATTAGGTTGTTAATCAGCTCCTTACTATCCGACTCGTCCCACTGAAGCTGCACAGAGATGTTGCATCTCTGTGCAGCTTCAGCTCATCTTCTACCGAATTCATCATGGGAAATGCTCTGAGGAATTGTTCGGATTGATACTTGCTGCTGACTTTCACTGCCGTACAACCCGCCATAAACTAAAATTTCATCCCAACCATCTGGATGAGTGGTGATCATCAACCGTGCGTTTTTCAAGGCACATTCTTCCACTCTTTGGAATCAACTTCCAACAACAGTATTTCTGAACTGACATCATAACCTTCAAGAAAAGAGCATATTCCTTTTTAAAAGGCTGGCAGCTCACCTGCAATGCCGTTGGTGTTGTGGGTGATCATGAGCGGCGGTAGTCACTTACCATCAGGTTAGCCGCATGCCCCGTGTTGTAAAAAAAAAAATCCCTTACTATTTACACTTGACAGATAACAACTTGATATGCGGCTTGTTTAAATTTGTACCGTCGCATCGACCAATTACTCGCCATACATATATGGAGGAGATGCTCCCACTCGTAGAATCATTGTTTACAAAGTATTTTATAGTCTACTACACGATGCAAAATATCTTGGTCTAAATAGTAGTGGTTTATAGTTACGCGCGTCTGTTTGCTTATATTATATATAGAAATTCACGTTTCCCATTACCTATCCATTGTACACTGATTAACTGTAATGAACAGATAAAAACTATTAAAGAAAATTCTAAATTAAATTACTTTTTATAATTTTTTTTTTGCTTTATTTACAATTATAATTAGACAGATTATTTATAAATAAAAACAAAGTATGTACGTTTGTATAGAATTACATAAAAAAAATATAATTATACTTTCTAAATATTTAGAATTTTAAGTCATAATATATAATTTCTAACATTATTTATATCTTTACATGAAATTTTTGATAAATGGGATAAGCTTATTAAAAACTTGAGACAAGCTGTTTATAGTTAGCACATCTGGGTACGGAAAAGTTACATTTGTATCTTTATAGTTAGGTAGATAACTGTTGATTAAATTTACTAATTGATATTGCATAACACCAATACCTATATAAACAAGTAAGTATATTTAAAAATGTCGTAAATAGGGTAATAATTGTTGTAACATAAATTAAACTGAACTCTACATTTGAATTTCAATGTATTTGTCATATTATTAAATCATATATCTATCTTCTACGTCAATCCCTTGCGGGATAGTCAAATCATTAATAATCTCATATCATCAAGACACTAAATCTAAATACATAATATAACTATATTATGTACTTCTTTAGGAAGCTTTTAGATAAATGCTACTAAAATATTTATAATTTTTAGTATATACTAAATATATCAAGAGACCGCTTTGTCTTGAGATTTTTTAAAGAGTTGTTTTATTTTGCATCGCTAGCTTTATGTAGAATCGCCCCTAGTTATCACTAACAGATGTTAAAGTTATGTATAACAACAGTAAATAGTCCAAGGCGCTTTTAGGAATTTATTCTTATTTGTAGAAGGTCTATTTGAATCTAAAAGTTAACCTGAACCCAATAAGATTTAGTTATAACGATTTTGTACATATTATGAAAAAAATGATCGATTTTGTGCTGATCAACAGACTTTAGAAGCTATGCTTCAGTCACATCGTTCAAATGAACACTTGAAGTTACATGAATCAGATCTAAATTTTAAGGAAGGAAACACCGTACTTCATTTATTTGCCAGGATTGCTATTAAGATCTACCGACTACAGGAAATAATTATAAATATTCTTTGTTGCACTAATACATACATACAACACAATGATGACAAATTATAGAGGGACGATTTTGAATGTTCAAGGAAAGTTTATTCCACAGCTGTACATTACAGAATGCGAATGATTTTTTTTTAATAGATAACAATGGAGTGGTAGGCCCGCCTCCGCCTACGATATACGCTGGCGGGACACCAGTGAGGTGAGATGAAAAGGCGGGTCAGTCAGCCTATCATAATTCAACTCGATGGTTTCCAGGAAGAACCACGTGGTGGTCGACCTAACAGGATATATTGCTAACAATGGGAATGGTAGTTCGCATTACTAACTACTACTCTTCCCTGAAATGCAAAAGAGTTACCTATAAAAAGAATTTTAGAGCTAGGAGACTTCAGTACCTACCCTCGACTAATTTTAGCAAAGACGCCTTGGTCTGAAAGGAAGGGGTAACAATTGGAAGCGGGAACGAAGGCAGATAGGAGAATTGTAATCATTAAGGATGTTATAAAGAACAAACAGGATATGTACCTACCCCAAGGCGATGTCACACTGAGAGCCTCTTTAAACGACCGCGGTAATCAAAGACAAAGATTCATGATCGTATTTATGTAAGCTGAAAATAAATCTAGTTACTAAATTTTGTAAACACTCAAGTTTATTTAGCAGATCCTCGGTCACATCTAAAAAACAGACGTCAACGATATCTAGAATGTGGAATAGAAACGTTTGAGCGAGCATAATTTTGCTATTGAAAGGGACAAAGTATTTAGCTGTACTAATTTTTGAAAGATTCATCATTCATTATCATCATATAATGACGAATAAAAGTAAATAGATCGTATGATCTACGTTGATTAAAACGTACTGGCAGTCTACTGGTTTGGCTTCAAAAAAACAATCATAATGCTCCAACGCGCGACGTTGTAAGCCAGATTATTTTTTTCTAATATCTATGGTAAATGTCATGCTTGTGAATGGAGCTCATAACGACTGTTAATTTTGGGTAATTATACTACTGATAATTATGATTTTACATTAGATTTGACATTTAGAACGTTATCATGGTTGGCTATATGATTATCATTTTATGATTCAAAATTTCTATTTTAATTTGATTTGTTTCTAATGTACACAGTAGTAGTATAATATATAAATAAAGTAAATACACAAAGTAACCACATAATTTATTTCCAACCAGTTCTTCGACTTATCACAAAATTTTACAGGTAGAGAACATTAATAAATTATATAATATTTTATTTCATTAATTGATTAAATAATGTTTTTACCCAAATGTACATTTTTCTACAAATTGATATGGTTTAGTTCATTTTTATACAATTAGATACAAAATTATATCGGTTTTCGCTACGCCATAGAACAAAAAACAACCGCCCTCTTCTACGTCGCTGCTACGTTGCTAACTTCATTCGTATATTCTACTGAATTTATGTACTTATATGATTTACAAAAATAACAAAACTCAAAAAATTGCTTACATATCTTCAAATTACTTTAAAATTATTACCCAAAATTACGAAAAAACATACCCAATCTGACATTGCTTGCTTTGCTTGCATATCAGAGGCATCACTCACGCGTAGCTGTTCCTTGTGACGTAAGAAACTTGAGTATCAGTACTTATAAAATTGTGTAGCCAAATATTTTAAAATATTATTATGGTAGATTTTCGCAAAGGTCTTACGGAACTGCAGTACTCAAAGAAATACACTGAAAGTGGTTTACCGATAACACCCCATAACACTAATAAAATTAATGACACAGATTATAATGAGTACCTAAGTTTCACATAGATAAAAAATCAAAACTAATAAAGTTTTGATTTTTTGTCTTAGTTTCGGTCATTCATGATTTTTTTCATAAACGGTTTTCCTCATGGAAAAAGATCAAGCAATGAAAATAATTTTTAAACTTCCAATTACGTCATAATCGACCACATGTTCAGCTACGTATTTGTATGAAATTCCCTGAGGAAAATTGTCGGTTCTATAGGATTCTTATTATCTTTACGACTTAATCCTACAATTATAACACTTATTATGAACTAATGGCCATAACAGGTGCTCTAACTGTAATCAGTTATGGGGGTGTTATGGGTACTATTAGTTTCGGGGAATCCGTTTGTCGTAGACGACAGGGGGGCGGAACGGGTGGCGGGCGTGGCGGTAGTGTTCGCGCGCCGCCCATCGACTGTTATAAACGAGAGCGACTCACGCGCCGGTAACAGCGTGCACAAAGCCGGCGGACTACGCGCCCATAGCGCAGCATCGCGTCACATCGCTAAAGTGTCGCGGTCTTCTGCTCCGGCGACTAGTTGCAGCCGGCGAGTCTCCCCGTCACGCATCCACGGCGAACAACAAGCCGCATCAACTGACCGTTACAAGGTAAGTAATATAAATATAGATAGACCTAGAAGTAGCCTTAACATTATCAAATAAATGATAATAACTCAAAGAAATCTTTTACCATCGAGACGATATGTTTCATCAAAGTGCGTTGTCAACTACTCAACGCCGGAGACACATTTATTAGTATTTTATTAAATCACACAGCATGCCTTCAGAATTAACGTGCCTCCTTAATTACAAAAGAACTGTCTAAGTATTGAAAATATAAATTCGGGTAGATTTATAATACCCATTGATGCTCTGATCACCATGTAGGGTCTACAGTCTATGCAACTTTGAGTGTCTACGAATATGGATTTTGTTTTTTTTTTTTAAACATGAACTCTAATATTCAACGTCTTAACTGATTTCTTCTAAAATAACTTAAAAATTATCAAATATCTACACAGGTATCAAGTTTTTATTAATGTTAGTTTGTAATATTTATTATGAAATTTAGCATTCAATTCAAGTATTACTTTTTATTCCAAGTCGCGGATAAAAATTACTTGTGAAAATATGAGTAACAATAAAATATAAAAATTGTACCAACGACGCCAAGTGGGACCAAACTCCGCTTAATTTAAATTTTATTCAAACACACAATTATTATTAGACTATCTTTTACTGGCGACTTCGTCCGCGTCACCAAGTTTAGTTTATTAACCGGCCTAAAAAGAAGCCTATGGTTTTCACTATTCCAAATGTTATACCTATATATACTAAATTTCATAATGAGTTGTTAAACCATTAAAAGATGACAAAGAAACAAACAAAACAATCTCACTTTTACATTCATTATATAAGTAAAAATTATTTTCATATTCTATAACAATTTATAATTAATTCATTGCCAAGCGTTCCGTAATCAGAAAGTCAGGGCGAAATATAAACACTGTTATTATATTTGTTCATAAACATATCTAATTATTAGAGTTGAACCAATATTTTCCTGAACACTGAGCAAATAGATACGACATTAAAAAGGGCATGTTTATCGAGCTCAAATAATATAATAATGATAATTCGTGTTAATGTTTTATGGTCACCGCATACGCGATGTAATGAAACGATCGTAAAAGGTACGTAGACACGATCATAAGCCATTCTAGATGGAAATTCTAAGAAATGTAGAGGAAACCAGTGCGTTTCGCCTTTATTGCCAAGCTTTACTACTCTGTGCGGGACAGACAGGCATAACTTTGATTTAATGCATTACGGCTCATAAAGTTGTGATTTAAATGCGAAAAAAAAAAACTAAATGTAAACGTTATAGTTTGTATCGTATGTTCGATGAGTAGTATCTTATGAGTTTAAGTAAACAAATCACTGCCCGACGAACATAAACCTGGGTGTTTGAACTTTATTCAACAGGTCAACCTTTAAATTGGGGTCGAAAATGGTTACAATTCGCATGCGGCCACAAACACACGTGACCCCTGCTCGTCATTCACTTACGTACGTTATAATCCATTCATCATACATTATTGTTTTTAGAACAGCACTATTGACAATTTTGTTTATATTTGATATAATGAAGCATGAGCACTTGCGCCAAGCAATAAAAAACACGTATTTAAATCCACTTATACTTTTATTATATTTATCTATTACAATTTTCTCAGCCATATATATTACTTATTACACACACACCAGAGAGAGTCATACCGCGCCCTCTCGCTTACTCTACCGTAACTTCTCTTTCGTTGTCTATGCCTAATGTTGCAATGATTAAAAATAATAATTGTGGAGGCTGGAGATACAAAACAATTAAACTCAACAAGCACGACATGTGTCAACACAACGAACAGTAGTCTATGCGCACCACTAATGGGAGATAATTCAACGGATGTCCGTAATTTTTTTAACCAATACATAACTAAATTAATATTTAAATTATTTTCACGATATAATGTTTGATTAGTTGCCAATAAATTTTTATTGAACATTAAAATATTAATTAACAAGATAACGATTACCAACTGAAAATTATGGCATCTACTAAATGGATTAAATATCTTATAAATTAATTAATAATATAACATGCCAATTTAAGTATATAAAGTTAAAAAACCTGAATTATATTTTATTTTTTAGAAGCAGAACCATAAATTAATATTAATTTCATTTATCCTTACTATCCCTAGTAATATTATAAATATGAACTACTTTCTACTATAACCAGTAAATATGAACTACTATATTATCTAAAATTTTATTTTGATTTTATCTAAACATGATGTATATATATAATAATAAGAACAGTTATGTAAAGATAATCATATTCCAATAAACATAGTGTGATAAAAAATACGTAATAATTAAAACTTGCAATTAAGAAATTGCCAAGTTTAGATAAAATCAAAATAAAAGTTACATTTTCTTAGTTACTCACTTACACGTGTTATATTTTATTTGTAGCTAAAGCCACTGACCGTCGCAATTCGACAATTGGGTGAGCCGACGTTACACTTGACCCCGCAAACTCCTAATTTATCTTTAGTTACTTCCGTCTGCTCCAACGTCTGCCGTGTGTTCAGATTGCGTGTTTCCATGAGAGACAAACTGATGAAAAATTACTTGACATTTAATTCTCAGTTCATGATCATTATTATATATTTACGTCTTTTTCCTAGACTAGGTAGCGACCACAGAACGCTATCTGCCCTTCATTGTTTCTCTTAGATTCACGCCGATTCTAGTTACTCTTGGTTTAGCTTCTTTTAAATATATTTTAGTCGATATAATCTAGTCAAGAAAATCCATTACCAGCTAGAACGTCATCTCCCCATCATAAATTTCCATGCACAAACAATTTATATATCAACGACAAACAACTATGTAGTAGATAGGTATTCATCCTCTCGACATTGTATTCTTCTACTTTCTGCACTATAACATCTAAGTCAGTCTTATTATACAAAATATTTTTATAGAAAATATTTTTTTATTTTGAAAATCTATTATACTATATATGTTTTGCAAGTTCAAAACATACTCAATAAAAAGTGAATATCTACCTAATTTACGCTATGAATTTATTTACAATAAAATAACCTCCTTGTCACAAGTTATTGTGTTTTCAATGTTAAATAATACTATACACTGGTGTTAGAAATATTGTGTCGTTGACTACACTAGTATGTTATATCTTTCAGAGACCGAAACACAAGCAACGAAAGTATTGCACGTCTCAATTTGATTAGGTTATTACAGATATCATACTATATTACGTACGTATTATAGTACGTAAGAAGATACTATACGTATCCCTAAAATTATTACTGTAAAAATAAAGAAATTGCGTGTGTATGCGATGTGCATTTGCGAGGAGAAATGATATGATTGATGTAGGTAAAATTGCAGAGTCCTTGACCGACTTACCCTTATGTGTCTGGTTGAAGTATGTATCCCACATTTATACTTGTAACAATCCAATCGTGAATAAACGTAATTAGCTATAATAAAATGCAACATCATTAGTTTGATTATACAGGTAAGTAAGCACGCGACTTATGTTCTTTTTTTTGCTGTACATTTATAGTCACATAATGATTGATGTGACGAGATTTCACATCAGTGGTAATAACTCCTAATTATTGATCATAACCATAATTGCAGTTAAATATAAATAATCATACATTCAAACGATAATATAAGTAGGTACAATTTAAAAATGCAAAACGAAAGATTACCTGATAAGTAGTTACGTATTTATCATTACTTAAGACTGAATAACTTACCTTAAGGTTCTTTTAGAATCTATTTTTATATCGTTCTATCTTTAAATCGACTTGAATAAGTTAAGAAATGAATGAACGGCCGTAACATTTATTATTTTAAATAATAATAAATCTTTATTAAATATAAAATACAGGGTTCTATTGTTATATATTTTGCACTAACTTTCAACTTAGGATAATCTGTGTCTTGAAAGTCAGTTCTTTCCAACATACAAGAACTAATTTGTATATGTATTAAGTTATAGTATAAAAAATAATAAACAGAAGAAAAAAAATATTGAAGTTTAAACTAAAAAATTTTAGCTAATAAATTGTACAAATGTGAAATGTAGAGTGTAAGCAGAAACGGATTAACTATCGAAAACACCTTAAGCAAGCACCTCCTTGGCACCCCATCTAGCGGGCATCAATTATGTTTTCTTTTTTTGTAACAATAGTCATTGATTGTGATGTTTACTACTACTAGTAGGTACTAGTTAAAATTTGTAATATAAGGCCCGCGGGGTGAAAGGGATTGTTAGTAATGGAGACTGAGAATCCCATTGCTAGCAATATACCCAACCAGGTCGACCTCCTCGCGGTTCTCCCTGGAAACTATCATGGTTATTTTCTAATGAATTCATCATGATAGGCTAACTGACCTGTTTTCATTCTCATCTATCACACTTCACTGGTGCTCCGCCAGCGTATCCCGTTAGCGCAGGCGGGGTTACCATACCATTTTCACCCAACAAAAAAAAAACTGTTATCAATACGCACATTCTTAAGTCTATGTCAATCTTTAGAAAAACTGTTTCAACTTTTATCATGAAATCAGGCGATATAGGTATAATTAAGAAGGCGACTCACGCTTCGAAAACTCTAAATCTCAATAGAATTAAAGAATCTTTTATATTGTATAAGTAGGTACAGTAAATACTGATATAATTTATTTTATTTTATTTTTCTCTGTATATAAAAAATCCGTGCGCGCTTTTCTTACTAACTTCGCGCCTCTAAGCACGCGTCTAGTTTCCCTTAAGGATAATCTACCTCTGTATATGATGTGAGAAAAGTTTTTTTGGTAATGGATGACAATGGAGTGGTAACTCCGCCTGCGCTAACAGTATACATTGGCGGGATTCCAGTAAGAGATGATAGGTGAGAATGAAAACGCAGGTTATGAATTCACCTGGAATATATATGATAAATACGCCCATCGTGATGAATACATCTGGAATTCAACACGATGGTTTCCAGGGAGGACCACGTGGG